ATTCTCTGGGATTTACTGACAGATTGTTTCAAGCTCTTCTCTGCTATTTTCTAATGATTTACATTAACAAGGCATTGAGAAAAGCCCTAAATTCCTTTTCTCAATGGTGATCTTCACCACGGGACAAACAGTTTCTATTGTTCAAGCACGACTTGCTCTCCACCTTTTGTTATCAATTAGGGTTCTCTGTCTTTTTATTGCTTCAGGTAACATAACCATGAAGACTGGTTCCATGTAACTTCTTTTACAAGGTGCCTCTCCATCCTGCACCAACACAACAATCATATTTAGGAACCTGCTTTTGCAATGTGCTTTAGGTGATAAGAAGACAAGAAAGTAAAGTAAGAAGTGCATAGTGTCAGAGACACAGAAAAATAGAAAATAGGAACTAAGAAATATCCAGGTGTGGTGTCCCTGAGACCACTAATGTGCATGAAAATCAATCCCTTGAATCTCCTCTTACACAAAAAAAATAAATAATATGTACTAAATTTTTGTGCGTAGCATCCTCACAAGTTGGATTTTCTAGGTGAGTGATAAAAAAATTAACTTCAATCACAACAGACAGGATTTTAAGTAGTTCCTTAATCCTGATTTCACATCAGGAAGAGGCTGAAGTGCATCTTATGACTAAATTCCATCTAAACACTCTGCTGGGGTTTACAGGGATATGCACTGAGGATGTGGTATCCTCTGTTGTCTGCACAGCATGAATGTGGAGTCACTTAATGTTTTCATTCAAGGTTTGCACAGTGTGAATCATACAATTTCCTATTTATATGCAAGTGGGAATCCACTGTCTGAAAAATGTTACTCATTTTTTTTATTGCTAAGTCATCTAAGAAACACAAGGGCAATTCTAGGAAACCTGAGGAAAAAGTGTATACCATGGCCTGTGCTTCCTTTTATCATCGCAGGAACCTCCCACAATGCAAAGCAGCCCTCATGCTCAGGCTAAAATTCAAGACCTAAATGAGAAGCCCCATCTTCTTCTCACTCAGGCCTCCAGTAGGGCATGGTTGTCCTGGTGCTGCTCTTCTGCCTGGTAACATTGCCAAGTTCTACGTGTTTCAGGGTTTCAGAAAAGACATACAGACCCTGTCCCTCACCTGAATTCTCTGTAGATTCTCATTATACAGTCATGGTGTAAACTGGGTCTGTCAACCTCCAAAAAAGTGTCTGAAGTGGATGTGCAGAATCTGGTGGAAGCACAAATTGTAATTCCGTTCTCAAATCCCAAGTTAACATCAGCAGGGACACCTCCTGTTGCAAGAATTCTAATTGTACTTACTTATAAAAATCCTGAGTCAAAATCCAGGGGCAAAAACAGAAGGATCAGAAAAGCAGAGCATTCAGCCACTAGAGAGTTCTCACCTCTACCAATGCTTAAACAAAATAAGAAAGATCCTGTTTCTACATAGCCTCTGACTGAATGCTGTTTCTCCAAAACTTCAGACTGCCTCTCAGACTGAAAGCTCAGACTGGATCCGAGCTCTTGTCTCCTCCTGTCTTAAATTCCTCTCTCTGCCCACCCATGTGAAACCAGTCTCTGCCATCCTAGATCTGGGATTAAAGGCATATGATCCCAGGTGTAGGAATCACCTTTATGTGAGCTTCATTTCTCTTTTACACAGATTCAATCTTTTGTATCCCAGGGTAGCATTGCACTCACAGAGATCCATCCACCTCTGTCTTCCTAGTGCTGGATTTACAGGTGTGTGCCACCATTGCCTATGGCTATCTAGTGACTTAGTTCTGCACTCTAGTCTTCAGGAAGCTTTATTTGTTAGATCACAAATAAAATATCACTACACATCCAAGAGCTATGTTTTCATAAAAATGAACAATCTGCAAACTTTTAACATAACCCATGTATTACTGTGCCTGAAGCACAGTGAGAGAACTACAGTGTGAGCTTGGACAGAAACCTTTCTACTCAGACCAGCATGGGATATGGAGAACAACAGGTACTCCCAGAAAGAGAGGTGGTCACTTAAGAAACTAGGAAGTTCACAAATATGCTGCATTTGCACCTGTTTGATTTAATAAACTTTTTGGTTTTTTACACAAGGAAATCTTCTAGAGTACCCTTTACCTCTAATAACCTATTAATTTTTCTTTTTTAATTACACACTAAATGCCTTTGTTCCCCACAATACTCTAAGACGTATAATTGCTTCTTTTCAGAACAAATTATCACATTAATTATATATATATTCCATATATAAAAATATATATGTACATATATATGTAATCAGGTGTCTGAAATTATGAAACTTGTTGACTGTAAATTTTGCAAGACAGCTTGGGAATTTTGAATAATCTTTAATTCATCCAGTTTCTTTTTAAACTTGTGGTAGAGAAACTACAGCTTCTCTGAATTGATGTTTATTTCCACAGTTAGCTTGGAAAATGAGCCATCCACAGTTTTCTACCACTAAACTAGTAGGACCTGATAAAAGTGTACAGTTGTTAAAATTGTTGCAAGACTCTATTTTTGAACCTTTGCATTTTGGTAAAAATTGGCTTGCACCTCAAAATCTAAGCTAATGATTTCTCTAGAGGCAGACTGTGCAACTCAGACTTCAGAATTCTCAGTCACAAATATGCACATCCCAGCACATATCAGCTCCAGTCCCTGGTTCATCTCACTCCAACCCTTTCCATAGACAACTGAGTTCTCTTATTTTCACAGTTTATTGGTGCTTTTGTTGCTCCCAGAATTACCCCTCTGCACTCTCTGATGTTGGTGACAGGAAAATCCTGGTTTCTCATGTATGAGCTAGAGAAGTGTCTTCAGAGAAGCCGTGTTGGCTGTGGGCTCCACGTTAATGGATTGTAAATGAGAGACAGGTTTAAAATGTAAAAGAGAACCCTTTTTATCTGAGGCTAAGGCTTCTCTGGAAATTCATGCATTGACACCAATAGTGTGTGATGAAGCCTTGGAGACCACATTGACTACATTCTTAGAATCCTGATAGCAGAACACATAACCGTGAATTGAATAACTCCACACTATGTTGAACCCAGAGGATCCACTGTCATAATTCCCAGTGTCAGTGTGAGGATCAGGTTACATGGTTACTCCTGAAATGGATGAATAGGGTAAAGTTTTTTTTTAATTTTATTTTTTTATTAAAAATTTCCACCTCCTCCCCTCTTCCCATTTCCCTTGCACTTCCCCCACTCCCTCTCCCCCTCCCTCTCTAGTCCTAAGAACAGTCAGAGTTTTTTGCTCTGTGGAAAGTTCAAGGACCCCCCCCTTCATCCAGGTCTGGGAAGGTGAGCATCCAAACAGACTAAGCTCCCACAAGGCCAGTTCATGCAGTAGAATCAAAACTCAGTGTCATTGTCCTTGACTGACAAGCTAAGGACAATGACAGGCTAAAGTTTTTATGAGGTTTTTGGCATAAAGTATATCTGAACCAATACCTCTATTCTAATCCCAAGGATTTAACTTTTGAACAAGAATATCCAGAACATTTTATGGAGAGCCTACCAATATTAATTAATAGACTTCACATGTCCACATTAAGGTAAATATATTATTGAACAAAGAGGCACAGGCCAAGTTTTCCTTCTGGAGTAGAAAAGAAGTAATAGTTGTTTATAGAGATGCCCTTGAAATTCTCTTCACTTCAGTATGTTCTCTGTTTTGTTCTAGATAATTTATAGAAAAGGAGATACCTAGATGAGACCAGAATAACTGTTACTGCAGCTTGAGCCCTGAAAGGTTAGGCAGGATTGATATGTGTTTCCCCGTATTCTGAATGATGACAGGATAATGTCACCTAGAGTTAAGTAACAACTAAATAAATGTTAAAAAAGATTTTACAGATAATGTATAGGTTTATCTGCAAATAAATTTCCTGAAACTGAGAAGCCTCTTTAAAGCAAAGGAAACAGTCAATAAGACAAAAAGGCAGCCTACTGATTGGGAAAAGATCTTTACCAACCCCTATTCAGAGAAAGGACTGATCTTCAAAATATATAAAGAACTAAAGAAATTAGACATTAAAATTTGAAATAACTTATTAAAAATGGGGTACTGAACTAAACAGGGAATTCTCAACAGAAGAATTTCAAATGGCCAAAGATACTTAACGGGATGTTCAACATCCTTAGCTATCAGGAAAATGCAAATCAAAACAATTCTGAGATACCATCTTACTCCTGTCAGAATGGCTAAAATCAAAAACACTAATGATAGCTTATGCTGGAGAGGATGTGGAATAACAAAACATTCATTGTTGGTGGGAATGCAACCTTGACAACCACTTGGGAAATCGGTATGGTCGTTTCTCAGAAAATTGGGAATCAACTTACCTAAAGATCCATCAATACAACTCTTGGGCATATACCCAAAAGATAATCAATCATACTACAAAAGCATTTGTTCAACTATGTTTATAGTAGGGGCTGGAGAGATGGCTCAGTGGTTAAGAGCATTGCCTGCTCTTCCATAGGTCCTGAGTTCAATTCCCAGCAACCACATGGTGGCTCACAACCATCTGTAAAGAGGTCTGGCACCCTCTTCTGGCCTTCAGGCATACAGACAGAATATTGTATACATAATAAATAAATAAATATTTAAAAAAAACTATGTTTATAGTAACAGACAGAGATAATATTTAGAAACACAGCTTTTCAATTTCCCATTGATCCTAAAGAGACGTGACAATGTGGAAACACAACATTATCTATGCATATGGTGAAAAGGGAACTAAGTACAGTGTAGTGAATACTTAACAAGGAAAATGTACACAGAGCTAAGTTAATGCTTCAATTTTTATAACTATCATCAGTGTGTATGGATGACATATCTTGGGCTGAGTACTGCCTTCTGCCCTGGTCCAACTACGGGGCTTGCTATATCAGGAAGATATGCAAAGGAGTCTTCTTTGTGCCCATAAAAACTAGGCATGCCCTGACCCTACAATTCTGGCAGAGGAGACTAGCCCTAGATTCTTAAATTCTCCCAGTCAGGATTTAGCAGTGAACACAGGCCACTCACCATGGACTTAGGGCTCATAATGGTTTTCTCTGTCCTGATTTTAAAAGGTAATTCATAAAGATGAGATACTGTTACAGTAGGAGTGGCGGGCTGCTTCCCACCACCCAGCTAGCTTTATCCAAAATAATTACACGGAAACTGTATTCTTTTAAACACTGCTTGGCCCATTAGCTCTAGCCTCTTATTGGCTAGCTCTTCCATATTGGTCTAACCCATTTTTAATAATCTGTGTAGCCCACGAGCTGGCTTACCAGGAAAGATCTTAACCCACGTATGCCTGGAGTGGGAGAATCATGGCAACTCACTGATTCAGCTTCTTTCTCCCATCACTCTGTTCTGTTTTGTCCTCCTACCTAAGAGTTGGCCTATCAAATGGGCCTAAGCAGTTTCTTTATTAATAAGAAATCACTCCCACATCAAGATACTGTGTGTAGTGTGGACGTGAGAAAGAAAAAAAAATGTCTATTGTGTCAGTTTTGTAGCCAGAGTTCTTTGTGTTGATAGGTGTTCAGTGTGATGTGCAGTTGCTGGAGTCTGGGGGAGGCTTAGTGCAGCCTGGAAAGTCCCTGAAACTCTCCTGTGCAGCCTATGGATTCTCCTTCAGTAGTTATGACATGAGCTGGGACCGCCAGGCTCCCGGGAAGGGGCTGGAGTGGGTAGCATCCATTAGCAGTAGTGGTGGTAGTGGTGGTACCACCAGGTATACTGACGCTGTGAACGGCCGGTTCACAATCTCCAGAGACAATGCCAAGAACACTCTGTACCTGGAAATGAGCAGTCTGAGGTCAGAGGACACAGCCATGTATTACTGTACAACAGACACAGTGAGTGAATGCTACTGTGAGCTCAGACAAAAACACTGCTGTGGGGAACAGGACCAGCAGGGGGCACTGAGATCCCTTAGAAATCAGAGTCAGAGAGCCTGCTTAGAGAAAAATGGAAGACTGGATTTCTCTGTTTCTGCACTGCCTCTCCGTATTGTAGGGATTTTCTCCACAGGAATAGAGTGTAGTAATTCTTGAATGTCAAAATGTTTATTCCCATTTCTTTTTCCTGTTGGTTTGTGTTTGTTTATTTGTTACAGTGTTTCTCCTTGTTTCCCTTTAACTCTGTCTACCTGTCTCTCTCAGTGTCTCACTATCTCTCTCTCACTCTCCCTCTTTCTCTCTCTCTTTTGCTCTCTCACATTTTCTCTCTAACTACTGTGTGTGTGTGTGTGTGTGTTTGTGTGTTTGTGTGTTGACATATGATACTCAACAGCCTCTGTCTTCCTCTTTTCAGTGTGTGGAAGACACTGTTACTCATATGTGCAGTCTGCTCTCATTTTTACCTTTTAATTCATGTCTGTGAGTTTAACATGAATTCCAGCACATCCTGTCTTTTAATTACACAGTGGTCTTGAAAGGTCATTGAGTCCAGACTCAGAATAGGAATCACTACTGAGGGTAAAGTTTCCTTCTACTTCTCCTTGTCCTCATCATTCTGGTTTTTTGTTTGTTTGGTTGGTTGGTTGGTTTGATTTATCCTCCCTAATCCAACATCCATGAGATCCATACTCAGTAGATTGATACTTTATAGAATCAGTTATAAGTGGTGGGCATCAAAAAAGAATTTGTGATTCCTTGTGTTTATTTTAAAAGTGTATAAGTGCAGTCATCCAAAACTATTTTCTATAGGAAAAAAGTGATGTTTTAAAAGATTGAACAAGGCTTGTAGCTCTGTGCTAGAGTGATTTCTGACAATGTGAAAGGTCTTAAGTTTAAGAAACAAACTCACTTAAAAGTATGAATAAAGCGCTTAGACAAATAATATTTCTCACTCTCTTAGAGTAAGTCCTTCAGGATTTCAGGAGAGACACAGGTACATCATGTAAGGAATGTATGACTGATGATGATGCTCCTTGTCCCCGTGTGCAATGTCCCAGGTCCAGGTGAAGGAGTTAGGACCTGGCTTGGTGCAGCCATCACAGACTGAGACCCTGTCTCTTACCTGAACTCACTGTCTTCTCATTAGACAGCTGTCATGCACATTGGGACACCAGCCTCCAGGAAAGCATCTAAAGTTAATGGGAATAATAAGGAATAATGAAAACACTGATTATAATTCAGTTTTCAAATCCAAGGTCACCACCAGCAGGGACACCTCCAAGAGCCAAGTTTTCTTAAAATTGAACAGTCTGCAAACACAGTCATATATTACCATAGAAGACACATAGTAAGGGAACTCCAGTGTGAACCTGGAGACCTCAGGAACAGCAGGTGGTACTAAGGGCCAACAAAGCCTCGCCAGCAATAGCACAAGACATTTCAGTGTGTGCAATCAAAGCAGGCACACAAGCCCATGAAGGGTTGGCTTCTCTATTACTTGGGTTGCTCTGTGCATCAAAATCATATTTTTCATTGCACTCTTCTAGAATTTAGTGTTTACTAATCTTTAATGAATCTGAATATTTTTGAAGTCCTGTTTCCATTGTAATTTTTTTTATACAATTTGCAATCTCATCTGAACAAGATAGTATCATAAAGGGAAGACCTGGCTATGCTGTGGGCACCAGGATCAATCTTGAAGTAACAAAGGATTAATTGGGATAGGGTACCTAGATTCAAAAGAGAGCTTCATTTAATTCTCCTCTTAGAGAAGAATTTGGGATTTTGGCAAGAGCCAACAGATCATGCAGGAATACCCTGGTAGGACTATAAACCGTTAACCTTGACTTCCTCTACTCTCTTCATCATCCTCACATGAAACATGAACAGCAATTTTATCATTGAACCAGGCTATGCTCTGGTACTTAGACCATGGAACCAATGCATCTATAAACAGCAGCTAAGCTCAGGAGCCAGCAGGAGGTTCCTGGCTAACACTCTGCTTAAGGTGTCCCTGAGTCTCAAGTCGCTTTCTAAAAATGATGTCAAATTGTAATGTAGTTTGTAGGTCTTAGGATCTATTATGGTCTTCTAAGATTGCTGGTGTATAATCAATTTGTTGTTGTTGTTTTTTTTTTTTTGCTGATAATGGTTATGTTTTATTCTTAGATGCAATGACTTTATTTATTTATTTATTTATTTATTTATTTATTTATTTGGATTTTCCAGACAGGGTTTCTCCGTAGCTTTTGGTTCCTGTCCTGGAACTAGCTCTTGTAGACCAGGCTGGCCTCAAACTCACAGAGATCTGCCTGCCTCTGCCTCCCGAGTAGAGGGATTAAAGGCATGTGCCACCACCGCCTGGCTTTATTTATTTTTTTTTATTGAAAAAATCTCTGCCTCCTCCCAGCCTCCCACTTCTCTCCCCCTCCGCGTACTCCTCTCCCCATCTGCTGACTCCATTCCCCCTTCCTCTCCAGTCTGAAGAGCATTCTGGATTCCTTTTCCATCCAGGTCCAGGAAGGTGAGCATCCAAACAGACTAGGCTCACACAAAGCCAGTTCATACAGTAGGATCGAAACCTAGTGCCACTGTCCTTGGCTTCTCATCAGCCCTCATTGTCCAGCACGTTCAGAGAGTCCGGTTTTATCCCATTCTTATTCAGTACCATTCCAGCTGGCCTTGGTGAGCTCCCAAAAGATCAGCCACACCGTCTTAGTGGGTGGGTGCATCAATCAAGGTCCTGACTTCCTTGCTCATGTTCTCCCTCCTTCTGTTCCTCATTTGGACCTTGGGAGCTCAGTCCAGTGCTCCAATGTGGGTCTCTGTCTCTATCTCCACCCATCGCCAGATGAAGGTTCTATGATGATATGCAAGATATTCATCAGTATGGCTATAGGAAAGGGTCATTTCAGGTTCCCTCTCCTCAGTTGCCCAAGGAACTAGCTGGGGACATCTCCCTGGACACCTGCGAGGCCCTCTAGAGTCAAGTCTCTTACCAATCCTAAGATGGCTCCTTTAATTAGGATATATACACCCCTGCTCCCATATCCACCCTTCCTTTATACCAACCATAACATTTTCCCAAGCTACCCCCATCTTACCCTTCTAAATTTTCTCTCCCCATTTCCCCTTACCCCGATCCTACATCACCCCCATGTTCCCAGTTTTTGCCCGGCAGTCTTGTCTACTTCCCATATCCAGGAGGATAACTATATGTTTTTCTTTGGGTTCACCTTCTTATTTAGCTTCTCTAGGATCACAAATTATAGGCTCAATGTCCTTTATTTATGGCTAGAAACCAATTATGAGTGAGTACATTCCATGTTCCTCTTTTTGGGTCTGGGTTACCTCACTCAGGATAGTGTTTTCTATTTCCATCCATTTGCATGCAAAATTCAAGATGTCATTGTTTTTACTGCTCAGTAGTGCTCTAATAGGTATATATTCCACAATTTCTTCATCCATTTTTCCATTGAAGGGCATTTAGGTTGTCCAGGTTCTGGCTATTACAAACAATGCTGCTATGAACATAGTTGAACAAATGCTTTTGTCATATGATAGGGCATCTCCTGGGTATATTCCCAAGAGTGGTATTACTGGGTCTTGGGGTAGGTTGATCCCGAATTTCCTGAGAAATCACCATACTGATTTCCAAAGTGGTTGCACAAGTTTGCATTCCCACCAGCAATGTATGAGTATACCCCTTACTCCACAGCCTCGCCAGCAAAGGTGTTTTTGATTTTTGATTCTAGCCATTCTTACAGGTGGAAGATGGTATCTCAAAGTTGTTTTAATTTGCATTTCCCTGACCACCAAGGAGGTTGAGCATGACCTTAAGTGTCTTTTGGCAATTTGAATTTCTTCTGTTGAGAATTCTCTGTTCAGATCAGTGCTCCATTTTTTAATTGGATTAATTAGCATTTTCAAGATCCTTATTTTCATCATATTTGAGTTGACAAAAGTTTTCTCTTTGCTTTGAATACCCACTTGGTCTACAGTGAGATCAATCAGAAGGTTCCAATAATGTGATGGAGGGCAAATGTGGGGTCAGGGCAGGGTCGAGTAGAACACAGGAGACCCTGCAGCACAGGTGACCTTGAGGCCTGGACGGTAGGCAGGCACTCACTGCTCTTGGTGGGTAGCCTTAGTGTAGGAGGGGGAAACTGTTCCTGAGCAAAAGACCTTGCAGACAACAGGACAGGCTTGAGGGGTGGGGGGGCTGGGTCTTTGTAAGAAAGACAGTCCTGCAGAAGGAGCTGGGGGAGTGGGGTTTGTGCTCTCTTCCGGGACAGGCCTCCCCTGGATAGCACACACTCACCTGTCCAAATGGAACTCCTCAGCACCAAAACAGGGATGCCTGGTAGTCCAATGACCGCGGACAAAAGGGCGAATGTGGGGGGCAGGGAGGGGTTGAGTAGAACACAGGAGACCCTGCAGCACAAGCTGAAGGTGCCCGCGCTCCCTCTCTTGCGGGGGACCTTGAGGCCTGCCCGGTAGGCAGGCACTCACCGCTCTGGGTGGGTAGCCTTAGTGTAGGAGCGGGAAACTGTTCCTGAGCAAAGGACCCGTCCAGATGGAACTCCCATCAATTTGGTTTTGACTAAAATAAAATCCTGACATCTACCGAGGTATTTAAACACATTTTAAAATTTATCAGTTTTATTTTCATCATGTAGATACATTTCTCTCACCATAACTTCCTCCACATAGATCTTACTTCCACTGATTCACTTGCAAATAAGTTTTATGGTCTCTGCTGTGATATCCCTGATCTGACTATCAGATATCCCAGCTTGTTGCACCTGTGGGAGTCTGGGAAAGGCTGTGTGTTTTGGGCTACCCTCCATCACATTCTTGGAATCTTCTGATTGATCTCACTGGAGAAGAATAAGTGGGTATTCAAATCAATGAGATAACATTTGTCAACTCAAATATGATGAAAATAAGAATCTGTTGTTGGTCTGCTCACATTGTCGTGGAGATCTACAGCATAGCACTCCTCCCATTCTCTGGGTCTTCCATGTTCTCCACCCTCTCTACTGAGGTATTCTTTTGACATGGAGGAGGTGACATAGATGCCCACTAGACCTGAACACATACATTTAATCTAAGCAATTTGAAAACTTATGTGTATCAGAATTAAGCATCACTCC